TTCAATGGCTTAGATGAGTTAATACTTAACTAAATATAGGAAAAACCCTGAATAACAGTATGTCTCAGATAAAAAAGGAAAATAGCATCATTGGTTCTCCTGTCTCTTCCTGATGACCTCCCCTCAGAGTGCCTATCGCATGTTTACGAGCAACACCTGCCTGAAGCACATGATCAGCAAGGTGCGTCGAGACACTCACTTCTTTGAGCGCTACCAGCACAACCGCGACCTCGTCACCTTCCTCAACATGTTCTCCAATAAGCAGCTGGAGCTTCCCCGGGGTTGGGAGATGAAGCACGACCACACTGGGAAGGTATGCCACGCGATGACGCCCGTTTTCACCTTCACTGCGCTGCGTGTGACATTTTCTGATTAGTTTATGTGCGCCTCAACCCTCAGCCTTTCTTCGTGGATCATAACTGTCGCTCCACGACCTTCATCGACCCGCGGCTGCCCCTCCAGAGTTCTCGCTCCACCGGGCTGCTGGCCCACCGCCAGCATCTGAGCCGCCAGCGCAGCCACAGTGCCGGGGAGGTGAGAGACTCGCCATTGCTGCAGAGCACTCATTGCCTGGAGCACGCTTAGGGTTTGCATGTTTAGAGAGGCCAGTTTGAAACTGAAAAATGGTCCATAAACTCTGAATGTTGGCGTCACCTGTGTTGGAGCCATCAAGGATGCGTCACAGCAGCTTTAATATAGAGTAAAAAGTGTTTCAGAAGCTCACTTCTAGTTTATATAACAGCATCTCGCAACAAGAGTCATGTCCAGGTATTATCAAGGTAGTAATGCTCACTATTAGAGGGAGAATCTCAGATGTGTCCAGCTGTGTGAGATTCTGCAGCTGCGGTGTCAAACATAAGGCTCCGAGGTCTCAAATCGGACCCATCTGATGGTTTCTAGGGTGTAAATAGTGCAAAAGAAGAAAGATGGTCCAATTTTTGGACTTTTGTCTTTATTCTGAACCAGCAAGAACGGTGTAGAGAGCCGGAGGTAAGTTTGAGAGCCGTCTTAGTGGCAAAGATGTTACTTCGAGTAATAATAATAATACCTTTTATTTTTTGGTGCCTTTTAAAGTACTCAAGGGCCCTTCCCACAGACGTTTTTAATCACTTGTTGTTGATCTAAAATAAAAGAGTTCCAGATGTTTTCAGAAACGTATTTTCTTAATGGGAGAAATATTTTCCAGATGGTCCACTGTTTTGGTCTTTTTAGCTTTGCGGTAACAGATAACAGGTAACCTGAAGCATCCGGAAGTGTCCAGTGGTGTGAAGTGGTGCAAATCCTTGATTAAGCCAAGGGTTCCTATCATTAAA